CGGAATGCCAACGATTTGTCTTAACACTACCGATTAATCTTAAATGATTATTGCTAATTATCCTAAATATGAAGTTCTTGGTATTCAAAGCATTTGATTTGAATAAAGTTAACAACACCTTCATCAAACAGTAATAAATAACCCACACTGAAATAATAATGAATCTTAGTTTTAATATATTCAAATATTTTACCAAAGTACAGACAGCGGGCCGAAAAAGCTCGGGAAATGCATAATCAATTTAAAATCATAACATTTATACCGCGAAGTGATGTAAACATTTTAAAGACAACTCTCGAAAGCAACACCCCGTTTGTCTTGTATTTGGTTGAACCATTGTTATTTCTAAATTAGTCTGAAGGTATTGAGAACATTTATTGTTTTGTTTTCTGTTGTTGTAATTAATTGTTTTAATAATAAGGCAAGCAGCTTTACCTGTTCATTGTCATCAATGTAAATACTTCCGTATTCTCAGCGTCAAAATATAGCTACTGTACTATAAATACATATTCAGAGCAAGGTTTGACTTCAGTTCTTGCAGGGAGAATAATCTGATAGCGTTAGTTGTTGTAGACATACCTAAGAGAGCTGATCTACACTGGAAGAAAGGATAACACCTGACGCTGATTTATTACGAATTTTGTGCAGGATCATGCGTCGTTTTTTTCGGCTTGACCTGGGTTTGGTGTGTGGCGAATGATCGTATACAAGGCAACACATTTAAGATCATCGAACACAAGACGCGGTGCGCAGAGCTGGTCCATAGAACTGCTGTACTATTGTTTAAGTAGGGCTGACACTAAAGTGCTGAAAACAATACACGAGTTATCAAGCATTTGTGTACATTCTTTATGTTATGGCTAACCGGTCAAGTAGGATGCATGCGTTTTGTATGTATACAGTAAGCGTTCTTACGTCAAATTGGAATCAAACGTTTAGAATCGGAACGAATCATCATAATAAAGACATATCTTCCTAATGCTATGTCGTCGATCGAGATTATCTTTACTGCTAGACAAGCAATTGTTAATACATATACATGCTACATGGGAAAAACTCATCGTCAAGGTTTTACCCGGTACAATATCCAGCTAAATGGACAAAGTGTTGTTGATAAAACATTGTATGTGCTGTTTAACATAAACCAATAAAATGTCAGAAAAGAAGAAAGAAGTGGAAATCCAAGATTTTGAAGAACAGTTAGATCGAGCTCCAAAGTGGAGAAAGTTACTGCCTATATCAACACTAGAAGACAGCTCCCGAGTTGCATGTTTACTTTAATGTTGAGATTTCTCTAAATGCACCACACGTGTTAAAGTGGACATGTTTCTACAATGCAAGATGAGATTAGGTGGTTGGGTGGCGCAGTGGAAACGAACTCACCTTTCACCTAGCCGACCGGGGTTCGATTCCCGGAACGGACGTGAAAAGGTAAGGGGTCATCTGCCCCACCACGTGGGTTTTCCTCGGGTACTCCGGTTTCCTCCCACAATAAAACCCCTCGGGCGCTTACATCCGGGCCAACAAGAGTGATTTGTATAAGCTGACATAACTTGTTTCGCAATAGTTGTAAAATAAATAAAGTTTATATTTTATATGTAGGATGAGAGCAATGCGTATGAGGTCGCTTATACTATGAAAACCCACGTATTTCGGACTTATTGGTATCCCTCTGACTTCGAGTTTAATATTACTCAAAATGATCATGTTCACATATTGTATCATTTCACATTTCAACATTCCTTGATTATTTTTTACTGAACATATACTTGTTTATATCTTGGTATAGCGAAAAACAAGTTTATTAAATAGGTTCTTACCGCTTTCATTAAGGCGTTCGACGGAAACAATTTGTATTTTTGACCGGCTGTTCTCTAGTTCGATGTCATGCAGTATCCAGACCGTGACGCATTGTCCTATTAAATGTCACTGATCTACCTTAGTTCATGTTCTCTCATGTGAGATGTCTATGGTTATAGCTTGCAATAACTCCTGTTGCTTATGACAGTTTATGTGCAAAAATGTTTCCCTAATATACTGTTTAAGGAAGAATATTTTAAGCAGAGCAACTACTACTATCAGCCAAATCATAAGCAATGTCAAAGGTTTTTTTTTTTCTTTTTTTTTTTCATTTATTTATTGATTGAGTCGGTGAGTTTCGTTCTTAAAATTGCCATTTCACTGTTTGTTTCTTATATTCAGAACAAATCTATCGTTTCTATTCTAATGGCAATCTATCACTTATATTTTCTCCCGAAAACAATACTTCAAAGAAAATGAAATGTCCATCCATCTTGTATTGGATAAAACCCGATCATGTTGTCTAAAATCATCGCTTTGATGAAAGTCTAGGCGTTACATTTTCATATTTGAGAGTTTGCCGAAAGAAACCCCAGGTATCACAAGTAAAAGCTGTGAATTTTAATTCTTTTAAATCCACAACCTACAACAATACTTTCAAGTTAATTTTTTGAAAATATTAGATCACCAGATCTATATGTAGATATGTGTGATGGCCATGATTATTAAATTAAACAAAACGTAAAATGTGTATGAGATATTATGCACTCTTTACTGTACAGTGATTAAATAAATATTAGGTATCACAGTATCAACATATTCTTAAAGAATATGAAACAATCTTGTGAAAAATTGCAGCTCATTATTTGGTAAGAAACCAATGTGTTTCAATGCCTGCACCTATATTGGACTAAACGAATATCACAGGTCTTCATATTAACATATATATGTCGCTAATGATAAATGTTAACACATTATTGATAATTCGGCCATAATATTACTATGACTATGTTACGTATCAGGGAAACACCTGAAGTAATTGAGTCCACAAATCACCTACACAGGAACCTCTCGATAGGAATTCAAAACCCCGACACTGCTGGTCACAGTTTTGTCATTGTCAAGGTAATAAAGGACCCTAAACGTTTATCAGGATTAAAGCTGTTCCAAACACTACGAAATAACGAACCTGTTGCCTTCTTCTTCCAGTTGTAAATGAGAATAAATAAAACAAAAACGTGACCGAATTCCCACTGAAATATGCTATTTTGTTCGTTTAAATGTCACATTTGATTCGATAAATAAAGTCCTCAATTCATCAACAAAGTTTACATGGGGTCCGTCGATGAAGCAGAAGATGCTTGCTCCTCCGAAACACATGATCTTATTCTCCTAATACATTGTCGGGAATCTCCGTGTAAACCTGTCTTTTGTTCGTATTTTGCATTAGTTTTATGGATTTTGCGTTTAGACTATGATTATACTGCCTTTTTGGTAATCTCGTGATGAATCTTAAAGGGCTTCTTTCAATGTTCATATTAATTATACATTTGAATGACGGATGCGTATCATATCAAGTTTATTTTAAAGATTAGGAGCTGGGCCATTTTCAAGATAAAATGTTTTTAATGATTTTGTACTTTGTACCCTCAATGGGATAAGCATGATATATTTATCAAGTACCTGCTGTTGGGAAGCAAATGTGTCCGAATCACGTCCGGAGTCTGTGCCAGTAACTGATCTGTAGACTTTAGCAATGCATTTAGTAGGCGTGCCACATTGAAGCAGTCAATCCAAATTTTTTTACTTCATCAGCGGATATACACCGAAAGTATTGTGTACCGATATATGATCTTAATAGTTTTGTAGACATTCCTAATTCTGAACTGCAATTCACAATTAATTATCATTAATTCTTGAAAACTCTTCTTATGGAAATCCAGAGACGAACAGCTTCTACATCAACAACAAAACACTGAAGAAGTCAATATGAAAAAATACAGCTTTATTCTTCGGAGAACGTTAATGTAGCAGACCTGAATGCAAAAAATGAATAGGATCACAGAACAGCATCAACCAGTTGTTTGATATTTGCCGCCAATGCTAGATAGCTCACAGCGTTGCCACAATGGCATGTCTAAAGTTGCCGCCATTTAGACAGAATTCATAATCGCGATTGTGCTATTGCCTTTCCATGGTTCTGGATCTGGGTTTATGGCCCTATCATTCTTAACCAAAGACGAAGTAGCTTGTTTATGTCAATATTCACTCAGATCGACCTCCATGAACCCTTCAATATTGATCGTATATTTTGTCCTGGCTGAGGGTGCAGGTTCCCTTCGATTATAATCGAATTTTCCCAGTTTTCCAAAAAATGTTATAGATCTTTATTTCTGTGAATCATTTAATTCACTGTCTTTACGTACAGCTTAGTGTATTGTTCCGACGCGATTGTAGTGAGCCCACTGTTATGCTAAACCCTAAGGGGAAGGGTATAATTCATTTCCTTCCCAGGTCGTCCTTTTATAGAAATATTTAAATTATGCATAAAATAATTTTCAGAATTGAAATAAGAAATTATACTGTAAATGAATAAGTTTTGAGTCATAATTAGAAGATGCCATTATGCTATTATCATATATATTAATTCCACAACATTCCATTTTGATGTATACAATTTAAAAAATTGCGGAAAGCATGCCTGTCAAATATGCTAGTTTGATGAAGGAGTCACTTCCCAACTTGACGTTGCTACATATACACGTATTTTACTTCTCGTATTACAGTAATTTGTTTTTGATAAAGAATGTAAATTATTAAGTGTAACATTTATCCTTAGGTAGTGCAGGCAAATATACCTCTGGCATTGTTTAATTCTCATAGCAATGTATGAAGATGTGAAAATGTGCATGCATTTAAACATCGATAAACCTTTTCTTAAATGCATTAATCTGTCTATATCTAGGTTAAAACCATTGTTTTGTGCATTCGGCTACGTGTATATTGCTTAACGTCTCAAATTTTGACTGGGAATTTCCCAACAATTTTTATATTGCAGCACTCTATCGAGGCTTTGGCCATAATGAAGTAATTAAGTCATTTAACATTATGGTAATCCGACGCATAATAATAAAGGCGAAAAGGTAGAGAATAATGTTTTATTAAATAAATAAATATTTCATCATATTCAAACAGCACAGCGATATTATTTGTTCTTTAGTTGATATAAATAGAATATACAAGAAAATAGAAACAACAGAATAAATATTGCAGCTCAGCCATTACTAAAAAAGCAACGTGCTTCAAAGCATGCGTTGAAAGTTAGTTGTGAATCGATTACATCTAAGAATAACTCATAAAGTACAAATATATAAAGTGTTTAAACGACCAAGCAAACGTAGATTGTGTTAAGTCAGTAAAATGTCATCCGTCATTGTCTTTGATAAACAAATTCTTTTTTTCATCAGGATCACAACTTGTATTCACATTCACCAATCAGTACTGTAGAAACATCCTGGTTAGGACACCAAATACCAGTACAATTGTAGATAATCCAAGTTTAACACTTCCGTTGTCAGCTGTTAAAAAACAATAAATATTCATTTAGATAAAAGCGAAAAAAAAACACAAATATGATGGAAGTTTGCAAGCGACGTCTACACAAATGTTATAGTATTGCTAACAGAGAAATGTATGCTTTGAACATCAACTTGTTGACAACGGATGCTTGTATTTTCGTATTTACAGTTGCATTATGTTTAATACATCCCTCAAACGTAGGCGAATAAATTAAAAGAAGCACAAAATACTCATGAATGACATTCAGGCACAAAATGAATCAATTTATTTCGTTTGAAAAGAAATTATTCTGTAGTTGCTATTGTTAGTTGAATTCGTTACAACAAAAAATGATTCTCTGGACATGTTACATGGTAACACAAATATATCTTATCTTTAATACAACATAGTAAGATCGTAATAATTAACTTATATCTCCCATATCTGGTTACTATTTAGGTTATTTTTACAGTTGTGGAATCGCAAAACGTTACACGACGTGCGATGTGCGCAAGATAGGAAAATTGGACGAAAAAAACTATCGCTCATTTGTGCACACGTTGTGAGATTCTATTGTGGTTGATATAAATTTAAAGATGACTTAAAAATATAATTGTGGGATAGGGTTCATTTATGTCGTAGCTATAACAGATACACACTAATTAGTTAGATACAAACACAATTTTAAGTGGTAATATGTAAAATTATGTAATCAAAAATTTTTTCGCACGTCGGGTACAACGACACATAACATTTCTAAACGAATACTGAAGTCAACAATTTTCTTTTATAATTTTATATTGATGTCACATTTCTTGAATCTAATATGCTGGTGACAAGTACATGACCAGCAGATCATCACTTCTAATATCCAGTTGTTTTGGAAAACCAATATGTTAAGTGTATACCGCTGGTTTACAGAGAATACTTTTTAGCATAAATAAAGATAAGTAAAAAATATTCGGACAAAATAAATGTTTATTTATGCACACATACCCGTATTTCCTGGTGCTACTGTCGTTGTAACCTCTGGCGCTTGAGTTGTTGATATGAAAATAACTTACAATGAAATAACTTGCAAACACTGTGCCATACAAACATAATTTCAAACCATTCTAGTAATGTAATTGTATGCTTGCTAAATCGCAAAAAAATTCGTTTTAAAAATGACGTCTTTTTATTTCAATTAATATGCAAATAATATAATGAAATTTAATAGTGAGATGAACTGATAAAGTGATTTCTTTACAGTAGAATCAGACATAAAGTTAATTTAACACACTCATGCCGATACTGAGAGCTCGGAAATCATACAGCCTTATTATGTTTGATTTGGAAATGAATTTAAAGTAGGAATATTACAGTAATTCTAGTTATTTACGCGTAGAGCGCTGATATATAGAGTACTTTTAAAGTCATATGTGTGCAGCTTTTGAATAGTTATTTACAAAATAGCTTGCATACATTACGTGTGGAGCTCAACGAAATCACACGATGAATATTTTCTTTATTTATACTGACACATTTTACGGACGATGGCAAAGCGTTTCATTGGTCTGAAGTCACACGCAGGATTCTGACTTGTACAGAAATGTATGCAAGCAGAAAGTGATATGTAGAAAATTGCCAAGTAGACGATCGTACGCTATTCAATAAATTTTTGATTTTGGTATATAAATTATGTCCTACAAATAAGGTGCAGTCAGCTATATCTTATTAATTCTATGTACATGTATTATCATTCGTCTACAAATCAACGTTATTACGTATTTACAATAAATTCAACGAATAATCACTAACGCGTATATTAGAGGTTTCTCTAATTATTTCATTAAGTCATGTACTTCATCCATTAGACGAAATCCGGCAGTTCGAAGATCTCGACGATTTACGGTTTTAGAGTTAAATGCAAATGTACATTATTATTACTTCTTTTATACTCAGAATTGATTCCTGACGAAACAGAATTGAATTTATTCGATCCACTTCCTTTTCTTCGCGAACCTCGTTCTTGTTTGTTAAAAAGATTATTAAGATCTGTACATGTTTTCTTCACACAAACATCGAATAATCTCTTTGCACAACGCGAGATCCTGTTTTCATTTTAGTGGCTTTGAGATATCGATTTAATTGATTACAAGTGGAGTAAAACAGGTGTATTGCAAACATTTAGGGAAAACAAAATTAGATTATTATGATCGTAAGACAAGTGAAGGCATCGCAAAATTTCAAAATTACCTAAAGCATTATTTGTTATGATTGCACTTAGTCTGCACATATATATAACTCCACAGAACGCAATGTAATGATGTTTGCTGGTTCTCTTGATTTATTTGTTCTCAAGAAGGAAAATGACACCACTTGCTATGATCAACCTTAAGTGATATGGTGGTTGCCGTCGATGAAGCGGAAAACGATTACCATTCAGAAACTGTCGGTCCTTTTTCTCCTTGTGCTTTTTTCATGAATCGCCGTGTAAATTCGTCTTTTTTTCTTATTTTCCCTAGCTTTATTGAATTTTAATTCATGCTCATTTGTTACGTCTGTGCTTTCTTACTTGTTTGCGAAATTATTTAATAGACAGCACATATATCAGAAATACAATGTACAAAGGCATACAGGTTTAAACAATTGTTCTATATGTATTTTTGTCTCATGTGTAACCTTTGGTGACTTTGACATCCACACTGCCATCTTGATCCATGCGTTGTTTACGATTGCATTATTATACATGTTAATTACTACAATTATAGAAAACCATTGAACAACCATCATGTCGTATTTGTTGCCTATACTAAAAACAGAAACACAGAATGATATCCGCGTTGTAGTCATGATTTGTGTCTATCAAACATTCAAACATAGTTAATATCTTAACAATTTACAATTAAGATATCATTTGAAAATATCGTTGCGCCTATTTGGTCAATTTATAAAGAATTTTCCCTGTAGATTCATTTACCGAAATAATTACCGAGAAATAGATTCATCTATGTTCTTGATTTGAAGATACAACTGCATAATGACTGTCAGCATCTTGCCTTAATGACATCATACTATCTTAAGATCAAAATGTACATTTACCTATATTCATATGCAATTAAAGTGACTCTAAGTTCATTGAAACAAATATTTATTTTTGATACCAAGAAATTTGTAACATACTGCTAAATCAATTCTTACCAGGGACCGATTCACATTCAGATTTGCATTCGCCTGCTGCGTCTTTTCCACATTTTTCATCACCAGCATCACAAACGTCGTCAATGACTATCAAATTATATGTTTATATAAACAAATGCATCAACGATTGCTCATGTTATTTGGCTTTCATATCTTAATCGTTACTGTGTAATTCATGAAGTGAAACATACGTATAAAATCGATATTCAAATAACATTTTCAAAACCTGAAGTAACTCTTAGTTGTTCGAACCGTCTCTAAATAGGACTTATTTTAATTCCGAAGCAAATTATTACAAGAAACCGTCTCGGTATTAAACGACATTCATTGCAGGAAAAGTGTCTGATAGTTGATGACACTGGACTGGAATTGCACTTTGACCTTAATTAAAACATTTAGACATTTAACATAATATTTATCGATAATTTTAATGACACAGAAGGGCTCGAAACTTAGGATTTTTTCTATATATAGTTCTGTGCAGTTGCATTTGCAATGATAACATGTACATTAACCTTGTGAAAGTCGTGTGAATTATTAGTTTGAATAGTCTGAACAGAATATGATACCATCATTTATTGTTTTTGTCTGAAGTACTGATTATTAAACATTAAACACCAAATATTCAAACGGAATACCAGGTCAATGTATACTGGTGTTTTGTCTAGAAAACCAAACATTTTATCTTAATTTTCACCCTTGGTATATAACGTAGTGTGACTAAATGTAACCTATGAGAACCTTAACATACACATAGAAATACTCACATTCGGCTACTGGTTTTCCGCTCTCGTCTGTTATAATCAGAAAACGAAATTTTTGTCAGTTTTGCTTAAAGAATATTTTTCCCTTTTACACACGAATCTAATCAATAAAAATCTTATTGAACCTGTTTAAGTGCAAATGTAAAGCGATAAATATAAATCATGAGATTTTCTTCACTTTAACCCTTTCAGAAAAATGGTCATATATCTATCTATCTATCTATCTATCTATCTATCTATAAATACATTTATATAAACATCTTTACCTTTACATGTCCATTTGCATTTTTCGGGTGCACAAGAATTCGTATCGCACGTTGGATTTCCTGAAAAGTAAAAAAAATATTTCTGAATACACAAAGTTTAATTGTTAACATAGGTAATATTAATAGGTTTAACATTTTTGATTATTGAGTGGATTACTTTTGTTGTTTTTTTATGTCTGACTTGCAGATATTTACAATGTACTTCACCTTATTCGGACCACACCTTCCATTTTAATTTTTTAGGTTTTCTAATAGGCGCCCAGAAAAAAAAATGATGTCTCCTATTCATTCAGTTGGTCTGCTATTTACCCTTGTTCATTTTCTTCCTTCTACATGTCTTAGTCATTATTGAAAGCTGCCATACTTTAAATGCAGTTACAACGTGCACATTGTAATTATTGTGAGCAAAGTTGTATACCTTATTGCGTATTGTCTTCCTTGTTTACATCAAGCATAAGATATTTTTACGTATATTTATCCTAAAGTGTCAAAATGTGGCCTTACAATTTCACTAACACAGATTTTGCCCTTTGCTTGTTTCAGAGTTTTAAAAAGTATTGACCTAGACTTAATATTCTTGTAACGAATACAATAAAAAAACTGGGAAATGTCCTAACTCATTTTCCATTGACCTGTCTAGTGTGGTATTGAATCACCATACATTATAATAATATTTACCTGGGAGAGGGTCACACCAAACTTCAACAGTGCTATATGTCACTGTGTGATTTTTTTTGGATCATTTTGTATATTTATATAATATAGTGTCGTCTCTGAAATGTTTTTTTCCCTCTCAGATCATTAGATAATATTGGGTATGGCTAAGGTGTGAAAAAGAACAAATCTACAAAAAATCAAATTAGGGACAATCTGCTCAAATTGATTGAGATATTGAAGGTGCATTAGTGTTTCGTGATTGCCGTTATTCTTTGTTTTGTATTGTTGAACGTCCTATTATAAGGACATCTCAGTGTAAGCAACGTGACTTAGTTTTGTCTGGTTCTATATTTGTTAACCTCCTAGCATCAGCCATGGTCATTTATGGACGACCGCATCTTTTATGCCATGTAAGGAAATGTCCGTACGGGCAGGAGGCGGCTTAAACGTTGAATCCTTGCAGATTCAGTGGTTTTCATTACAGTCTTCTACTAACGAGACTTTTGTTGTGCCTCTTTACAACCGTTAATATATGAATCTCTATCATACAGCGCTCTGTCATTTGTCATAGATATATACGTAGAAACTGAGAATAAGAATGATTTATATAGGTTTGCAGTGGATCTTGTGTTATCGAATCATCTGAGTTTAAAGGGCCAAGCTTCGTAAAACATGTGCTCACTTATTTACATCGGAAGTTGTCATTTTGGAATTTTCCAAATATAATTTGCTATCGACGGCGATATTCTTTTACTATTATTTAAGTATCAGTATAGTTACTATTACATATTTCCTTAGAATGATTGGATATTTTCTTAGAGAAAGTGCCAGTTTATACAGCGGTGATAAACATGACATGGTGTTTGTTTCGATACGTGTTCACAACGATCATTTGTAAAAACCCGTGGAATCCGTATTTTAGTACAGCTATGTTTCTTAGATTCAACTGCTTGTATAATGCATTGATGTTTGACTGTTTTAAAATTCCTATTTGACAAAGCACACAAAGCATCACAAGGTTTTTCATTGAACGAAATACGTGTTTTTTTGGAAATACCAATAAACATAAAAATTTCAACTCGTAAAACATATTTCCCTCTGTGACCATGACAGTCATTACTTTTAAAAAAAAAGTTTTAATTCTTGATATAATCAAGCTATTGGCCAAGATGGCGCAAAGCCTTTTGGTTATTGAAGAGATGTATTCGTTTAAGGCTTTGAACACCTTTAATTCCTGCGACATTGGAAGTGGGTCAAGGCCGATCATGACATATACTTTATATCAGAACCACCTGGATTTGATGATGTCGTTAAAGGGATAAGTTGACATAGCACTTGTTGTGGACGCTGCACAACGACATAATTTAATTTACGCTTAGAGCTGGATAATGAATTCGGAGTTAATTTATATCACGGGAAGATGCGTGTCAGGTTCGTGTTTGGCTATGATCAGTTTATTTCAGTGTTTAACACTGGTTTCTTATGATGCAAGTTGAGGAAAATTATGGGGAAGTTTTACGGTCGTTCTAACGATCTCATCGAGATATTTCGATTTCTATGTATGATACGAAGCTCGAGTTAATGATGCTCGTTAGTTTGGCTGTTGGTTTCGTTCTTGAAAACCTTGTGCTTCTTGTATTGGCCATGATGTGCATGGCGGTTGTCGTCGACGAATTTTACTCTTCCGGAACACTTGGTTTTTACCGTCCTTGTAATTTTTCAGGAATCTCCGAGTAAATCTTTCTTTTTTATTGCCCATGTCCGTCCGTCCCGTCCCGTCGCGTCGGGGGCATTCATGTCTTACAGACATTTTCTAGTTTAATATTTGTTGTATTCGACGGCCAATGGGATGGATATGCAGATAATCATTTTTCATAGTGTCGTTTTTATTCATTTTGTTGGATCACGCATGAGTGTCGCAATATTTAGAATAATCAAGTTAAAAACGTCATATCAACGAAAACTAAAATTATATTTATCATCTTGTATAATCATCTTCAATGTATCTTACCGTGACACGAGGAGGTTATAGGCCCGAATTAATCGTTCCGTCCGATGGATCACGTGACCCAGAAATCGAGCAGTACTAACACTGCTAAACGAATTTCAACCAGCTCAACATTCCTTCTATATCACACAGCCCTGATTCTCATTTCCTTTCGTAAATTATCAAAAAATAATAATAATAATGCAAAGCAATACATGGGAGCAGTTTTAACTGACTGCAGATAACCATATCAAAATAATTTACATTTGCAGCGAGGGCAGACGTTTCACGGAATAAACATTAATTAACATAATGACCCGAGAAGTTAAGACATTCTCCCACATATCACTGTTCGCTATTTTGAATACATATTCCAGTGACAATTACCAGGAAAAGGTTGCTCCGGCACAATTTTCCAAGTAGCAAACATGACATTTTGAAATGTTTATATCTATGTTATATTGCTGAATGAATAATCATCTCAAGGAACACAGCATACTTCTACGATAAGACCTCACAAACCATTATAGCTAATGATCGAGATGTTGAATCACCACCAGCAGGCAGTAAAAACCGTTTAGCGTAAAATAAGCTGTTTATACTGCGTTTGACATCATACCGTAGCTCTAACGTATTCATAACAAATGACAACTCTACAAGTATGTAAAAATATTGAACAACACGCCAATATACTGACATGTCATTCAGAAAAGACTGCATATGTCGGATGTATAAAATGTGACGTCATTACTTTGAAACGATGTATCTTTTTTATGAATACTACGAGCCGCGGACTTTGGAGCAACATTAACACCCATACTTACATCCTAAGAGTATCACACAAAACTTAAACTGATATTATATTGTTATTACCCTCTCCGTTATTTCTTATCGCTGGTAAATAACCAGGTTGAATTCCCACCTAATGGTATTCATATTGATTCTTGGGACATAGGACGTAATTGCGCAGTGAAATCCAATTAACAAGTGATGTGGCTCTCAATCTGATTTCACGAAGCATCGTAACTGGTGTTTTTCATAAACATTAATTTTCAGTGCCATGAAGTGGATTAAAGTGATTATCATAATAGAATAACCATTGAAACCATAAACAGAACTCGTTCTTGCCAGTCACTGAAAATGATCACGTTGACAAACTAAGGAATATCATTTGCAATGTGTCAATACTGAATTTGTTGCATAAGTACGTGTTTGACAATAAATTTGTTTTATCATTAAAAGCTTTGTAAAGTTTATTTTTTCTGAATATCTTTGATTTAAGTCCAACAATTCCCTTCACATCAGTAAATAGATATCGGAAGTGACCAGTGGCCATTTTTGCATAATGAAAATCACTTAAAATGATTGCCTGATAACCAACTTGCTTATCTACTAAAATGCCCAAACACTGATTGATTGTTTACGCTTTCTAGAAAAAGATTATTTTACCTGGAAAAAAACTTAATTATACAGAAAAATACAGCTGTACATACAAAGTATAAGAGTAGGTTTTCTCATTCCAGATACATATGTGTAACAATTAGTTCAAAGATTAAATTGATACTTACCACAATGTACAACTGCCAAAGACATAAGGAGGACAATGGACGGTATGAGCATATTGGCCTGAAAGAGATGTTGGTGTTATCGAAAAAACGATATCAAATCAGGTAATTAGTACGCTGATACAAACTCTCTTGTCAGTATAAAATAGTAGTTTGATGATAGACATATGCTAGCTCTTGATTATCCCTGAAGTGCCTGGAAAGCTAAAATTGACTTAAATTTGCTTAGAAAATCTTCATTTCGAAGTAGCCTTCTTTAGAAGCAGATATGGTAGAATCGATGAACAGGTCTGGACGAATGTTTTTAAAACTCCATTATTTTCCAATTGGAACGCTTCAATATTTCACATTTGCTTCAGATACAATTTTGAGGATACGTTTTGTCCCAAATTGATCATAGAGAGACAAAACAACGGGGCTGTAACTGCTTTAATGGGTTAAATTTCATGATATTTGCATTTTTTGGGCGCAAATATATTTTTGCTCGTAAAGACATTCCACTGGGCAGAGAACTTAAATTCCATTATCGATATTATTACGTTCACTTCACCAGGTAGTCGTCCCTCCCGAAAGAGGTGATTAAGATTACTTCTATTTTCATCGTTGTCAATCCCCCATTCATGTTCATGTAATTACAACCTCTACCTGCATTCGAGGTGATTGTTGGTTCTTACCTTCATGGACCACACAAAAGGCCCTAAACAAAAAATCACTCCAAAATTTGTACAGCTTTATTTGTATGCATATACATTAGTTATATATCATTCTATATTTTTAAAAATGATAGCCGAAATATTTCCAGGATATCAAATCGACTGTAGTATCTGTAGATACAAAGGTACCAAGAAACCATTCTCTTACTTCATAGAAAACAATGGCGGTTTCAAAGATTTCATTTCAAAATTAAGGTAATTATTTCAAAATACCAAAATAAGTGGATGAAACATTATTGTTATGAAGATTTAGCCATTACATGGATATCTATGGGAAATATTATATATGTCAACATTAGCAATGAACAATGTAGGATCATAGAATGCAGCAGACAAAATCAATTAACTCACAAAATGTCTTTATGAGTTATTGATATATGTTTTAGAACAAGGATTAACCTTTGTATTTAGTTTCATTTGTTAGACTTTCTAGGAAATTGGTTTTTACATGTGTTTTTCATATCTGAGAGATGTTGCTGTAATTACCCAACAGGTCAGCATGTTTCTTATATATAAACATGTTCTTGAAAAAAAAAAATTGTTACATACACATTTCCTTCCAGATTTCAATTTTTATACAGAATACTAGGCATTAACCACAGACGCACAAAGTGTAGAAAACATTACCGTGCCTTTTATGTTAAATTTGTTGAAAACTTAAGGCCAAATTGGCCTGTATCACTAACCTGAATTTATGATGAATTTTTTAGGAAAGGTTATTCTAGCAACATTATGTGTCGAAAACTCCATGTTTACTTTTGTCTCAAGTATGTCACATGTGATTTTACATAATTTATGGTATCTTTGTTATCAATAAATTTATTTAAAGCGGTTAAAATATCTTACCGATGTGGCCCTAAAAGTGTATTACAATTTGTTTTACATTTTATAAGTCGATCATATTTGAAAAATGTCACCTTCAATGTTAGTCAAGATCATTCATTTGATGAATTTGTTGAGGAGCTGTTATAAAGATAAAACCTAATGGACAAAACACAATCATGCACCACGGCCTAACATCACTTGCCCGTCAGTGAGGTGACCTAAAAATGCAACCCCTATGCTTTCCTTCAGTAATGTACATGTACATAAAACAAAAATCATTATTTGAAAACAACAATGATTAATTTCTTAAGTTCTAGAAAATTAATCTGCTTTTAAGTAGATATATTTTATAAGTGAAGTGTAGCTTTGCATTAAAGAATAACTAATTTGCAAATAAGTACTGATTTCATAATTAGCTGATTGTCACAACAATCATCATCCTAATATAATTTGATACTTTTACAATACCTGGATAGAGAAAGCCCCTTTTGATTACTTACAGCTGTTACCACAACAATTAAAATCAAGAAGCATTTGTTTACCAGCAAGAGATTCGAAACGTCTGTATTATTTCAAGGATAATGACATTTATCATTACAGATATAATGTCAATTGTTAATATGAATAATGTCATGGTCTTGTAATATTTATTTGCAATTTAAACCTCATTGTGAGATATGTGTTTTACATAACAATTGTATGTTATCTACAACACCAGGAAGGGATTAATATTACCAACATTTCGGAAATAAACATAATTGTAATGTTTTCACAATTAATACAAAAATGTATGACTCAAAACATCAAAATATTTATTATATTTTTTATGAATATACACCATCCTTTAGCACTGGTTGTGTACATTTTGTTTTCATTTATGATTACTTATTAATTTTTATTTATTTTTATTTTTTGGAGGGGGGGGGGGGCGGTTGGGGGTATTTTTGTTTCTATTATTTCATATTATTATTATTGTTGTTAGTCTGAACGGCCCGCTAACACATAAAAGGTCAAAACTCATTCAAATACATATATTTGGCTTTGCTATTGTCCTGAATGATTTTATAAATCATTATCATCGACTGTGAATTGTTATATCAGATTTACAGGTATAAATGTACTGCGTCTTGCTTATTTCACCATCAGTTATTGTTGTCTATCAAGAATGCGCCTGCTCAATTTGGATGTGTAAAAAAGTATAGATTCAATATTTGAATTATGTCTAGTCAGTATCCACTCCCAGGATTCATTATTTCAAATAAGTTTTTGCGCAAAAATGCATTATTGTACATTAACACGTGATGGTTAAGCTATTTAATAAAACATGATGTTCATTTCCTACATTAACAATGATAAAGATCTATCACAATACATGCTTCATGCTGAGTAGATAATCAAAGGATTTAACTTTAATGATATTTTTATGTGAAAAAATAAATCCGTTTTAAATGAGATGTATACCTTCATGAATAATTCTAGTGTTGATTTAGTATGGCATGATAAAGCACCCAATAACCATACTTGGTTTACTTTAAAATTGGAATAAAGATATTTTATCTAATTCCCATGTATTTATAGAAATTGTTGAAATTTAATAAATGAAGGCTCACAGTTCGATGTAATTCTGAGTTATTCTACACGTAGATATTCTTCCATGTTTCCATTAAATTATATTATGATATATATAATGATGCTGATACTTACCATGTTGTGCGTTGTTTCGTTCCCAAGTTCCGAGTGTTGCTTGGTGTAGAGGGACCGCGAGGAGCAGGTTTTTATACCAAGAATGACGTAAAAGAGTTTTTAAACCGGAGACACGTGATGCAAATTAACGCCTTCCAAATTTTCCTGCATGTTGCGCAGGTAAAACAGTAAATTGTTATAAGGTAGTGCACAGATTTATGACTTCCGACGTACTGCACTTGCATTGGCGACTGTCATAGACTCGTTTGAGAGTATTCGTGTACCTTGCATTCGTTAAAATGGGATGCTTTTGCATCACGTCATGATTAATAGCATCAGGATTACTCATCGAAATGCATATTTATGAGGAAGATATCTGTTAAACAAATGATAAACCAGTGTGCTTTTAAGGTTAAAACAACATTTTGGTAAAGAAACCAGACGCCATGTGCATTTTATTGGGATCAGATTAATGTTTGGTAACCACATAAAGGCAAATTTGATATGGCTTTTACATACTGTTTCAGGGAACACGGGGACGGAATAAAAATCCTAATACGTTTTTACCGAAACTAAGTTTATTTTTTCCGACGGAATATATTTAAAATTGCCAGGACATCTGTTATAATAGGTCTTCCGTTCAACAATCCATTCTGGGTGAGTTATTTGTTGGGGTTTTGTTCCGCACCAACGAGTAATGAAGTGCCTGCAGGTACAATAATGATAGAATAGGAATATACACTTAAGTTAAATAATTATCATGATTCCTATTACATATCTATAAAATAATTACTATTCATAGTCTCTTCACAATTACACATACATACAAATAGAAAGAATTTAAATTGCCACATTATATGACACTGCTCTATCTAATTCTTAATTTGCATTGGAAAATGCTTTTCAGTTGTATATATAATATATATAAAATCGCAAGCATCAAATTTTACAAATCGTTAAAGTATTTTTCCCCAGCAGTCCACAACGCATTATGTTGATCATTTGACGAAATGTGCCCAAAGCTGTCTCTCTGAGATACGTTAAATTCAAAACACTGGAACGAAATAACCTCTATATCAGAATAGAGAGTGTTGCCTGGCTTGTTTAGTGATAAAAACATTAGATACTTCAGTAATACGAGATGAACACATTCGTCATTTTGAATTCATTTAAACGGTTTGGAGCTCGATGATAATTGTTTCTAGAATGCTGAAGATTGTTTACTTATGCTTTATAATTATTAAATTACCTAAAAAAAGAAAAAAACACATACCCTCGTAGTATTGGTAACACTTTGATTAATTCATTTCCACCAACAAGCGAAATTTAATTGCATTTAATTCAGACACTTTATTTCAGACTCACTGGACATTTTCCATAGCAACTACTGTAGCATGGCTGCTCTCAGTAGCTATTAATTTATGTGCGATTGCTCTATCCACTTGGCAGCCGACAGCCTACTGGAAAACTGCCATGATGTGTTGAAAATATATTAATTTTAACCTTGCGTCGATGTTTCTTTTGAACACACGAGATATGATTCGTTTATGTTTTCTTCTTTTCTGTTTATATAAAGACAATGCCAAAGGGATGAACAATTGAATAAACCAAATAAAAGGAACCAAGTTTAAATGCAACAATAGACATATCATATTTAAACGTTCACTAAAGATAAAATGTTTTAAGATGGAAGCACACAAAAAAATCGGATTTCGGGTGAAATTTGTTATTTCAATGTACACCGTAACCGTTTTATGTACAATTGCATTACTATGCTGTCATGATCGAAATATTCACATTCATACTTTATAAGGCACCAAATGTAATAATCTGTAACTGACCATGAGTGTTCACTATTCATGCAAATATACGAAGACGTTGTGAAAAGCGATTACAGTATGATATACTTAGGGATTTATGTCTTGGTAGTGTGTAAACCTAAACAAAGCATTTCATTCTTGTACAAAAGTACTTTCAAGGTTGAAATATAATATCATCAAAACAAGGAAATACCAACATGTCAACATAATCATAAACCAAATTCATATTCAATAAAACTAGGACAATATTTGAACAAAAGAAAAATTAACGGTAAGACACCTGCAAATGTTCAAGGAAAATAAGACCAGGAGTTCCGGAAGAGTAAACGTCTTCTGTCTCATTTGCAACATTCAGCATGTAAATTTTTGTCAACTTAAATAAGCAATGTTACGTCCTCAAATAAAAACAAAATATATAACATAGGAGTCAATAAGTATCGCTTTAATGCGCGATTAGCGATGCCTTACCTCAAATCAAACATACACCGATATTTACCATATCCTCATTTACGCTATCATTGCTGCGCTTGACAAGACAACGCATTATTGAGAGAACAACTCGAAATATTGAAAAGTTTAGCGACTTAAAATGTTTTGTTTTGCTCAGAACCGTCGTTCTGTCGCTCCTCAACACGAAATAACAATGACATTTAAATTGCTTTCCGTCTATGGTTCGTAATCAGAGCCTATCGTTCATTACTGAACAGGAGGGTCATGGTCCTTGACGCACATCCGATGATCGGACCATAACTTAGTATACATTCCCTTGATATGTTTCAGTTCAAATGGTTGAAATCTATTTGAACACACATCATTTAACAAGCAATATTTATTGAGGTGAAAACCTGTATCTAAGGGTCGAATTATCAATTATGAATTCAACATTATTCAGTCCTCTCTTGAAGGCATGTTGGATGAGTGCTATTAGTGTAATCTTAGTTTAAATTGCCCTTTTGCGGGCCATGATTCTGTCCCTGAAGATATTTTTAATTTTGGAGTTAAAAGAAATCATTGGCCTATCCAAATGATACACCAAACAGAATTTCGTTGAAATCCACCAAGACATGAAGGTAGAGAAGCGTTAATAGCTAATTTCAGCTATCGCTCCCCTATAGGGTCTCGTGCCTTAGCTGCCAGGGGGAAATCAAAATTCCGAAATTCAGAGCACCATACCTTAGCCCCAAGTGGTCGAAATCAAGTTTTCAAATTCAAGAAATAATTCCCTACATCAAATGATGCTTTAGACTAAAGTTGGCTGAAATCAAACCGAAAAAATTAGAAAAAAGGGAGTAGCGTTTTAAATCAAAATATTGTCCCTGGGTGTCGAATCAACTTTCTGAATTTAAAAATTGACTGTTCACCCTTTACTATATTTCAGACAAAACGTAAATGAAATTTATTCAATCAGTAAGGAAACGTAGCGTTGTGAACTAAAACATTGTCTAACTTCCCTCTTTTTGGAGCCCTGTTGCTAGGTCCCTGATGATCGAACCACTTTTCTGAAAATATTTAATAATCTGTCTTACCCAATGATGGACAGGACCAAATTTGGTTGAAATCCATTCAGGCATTAAGGAAGAGTAGCATTGTGATTCATGATGCAAAACGTTGTTTAAATTTTCCTGTTGGGACCTCGCCTCTGGGTCCCTTGGGGCGAATTTAGTAACTGAATACCCACCACAAAATGATATTTCAGACTAAATTTGGTAATTAAGAATTGCTTTTAGGCAAAAACTATTGCCGAACTTCCCTTTTTGGGGCCCTGTTTCCAAGTCTCTAGGGGTCAATCATCTTTCTGAATAAAACAAATGATTACCCTAAACCAAACATGCATCAGACCAAATTTGGTTAAAATCTACCTAGGCATGATGAAGGAGTAGTATTTCAAGGGAAAGTTTACGGACGGCGAACGTAGCACAATAAAAATATCTGTCGATTTTTTTATAAAGTGATTGACAAATGTTTCTCAAATTTTTATCTGTACCTGTAGATGATGTGTTCTGCGTAGCTAAGTTATGGAGATTCAAAGTAGCATTGGAAGACACCATATCAAGAAATAAATCGTGATCAGTTTGAAGATTTTATTTATCAATGCATCCGATAATTCGCTGCTGCCCAGGAACGCGGACGACCTTCCCTTATCTAATCCCTTATCGTGACGACTTTTATCAACAGAACATGTAATTCACCTGCTTAGTTTAATTTTTTATTACTATGAAAACTACAGGATTTGTGTTTATCTCGGAATAGATCGAATATATCATCAAGTAAGTAAGATATTAACCGAATTGTAATTGACTAAACGAAGAAAATGATGGCAATGAACACATACGACCTCATATCGAAAGTAACGTGATTTCGTGGCCTAGTGATCCACTGTAAAATGAAAATGAATTATATAATATTGAGTTGCTCACTCTGTGCCTCCATACGATAGGTTCATCATATACACCTGAGCAGCGAATCGGCAAACTGCGGGTGACTGTTGAAGTTATTTGTCAGGTAGTCTTTGTCGCCGGGCTACAAACACCTCTAAGTATGATCGTTACCTGAAATTTTCAACTATTTTACTGAACCAATGGTTTGTTCGTCCGTCTCGCCGTCCGTCCAGGCGTCCATCCGTCCGTCCGTCAACAATATATTCGTGCTATTTTGATATCTTGGGGGTTACTTGACAGATTTTTCTCAAATTATATTTGTATGATTCAATTCGTACTTATTTTTGCGTTTCAAAAATAAATACTGACCGTAACAAAACAATCATCATGTTAGCGCTAGATTTAAGAAAAGAAATAAAAATGATGCCAAGCCTTTCGTTATGATGATTCTAATTTGCGACGGAATGGCATTTGACTTGCCGAACGATAGTTACCTTCTTGGATATAATACCTTTCCATCTGGACATTGACATTTACAAATAGTTTTTGTACTGCAAAATAGTTCAAATGTACCTTACAGCTGTTCCGTCCTTCTAGATCTCCTAATTAGTACTAATCGTAAAACGTGTTGAAAAATAGTAGGAAATTATCGTTTTTAACCGAAATTTTGGTGTCAAACAGTAATCGGAGGTAGACGTCGTAGTGCATGCCTTTCTACCTGTACTTGCCACGACTTCGTTTAGTAAAGCTGATGGCTCAGATAGCTAAACATTCATCATATACATGACATTCGTGACACGTAAGTCACGTAAAAGGGGTATTTACTTCTGTGTCGTTTGTACAATATATAAGATAGCAGGTGAAAGACACTGCTGGTGAACTATAAGTCCCGGGATTTCCTTCACCTGCATGTCTTGCTTTCATTCATACTGTTAGTTACACGGTTCAGAA